ATAAAATTTACTTTATTTGTCTTTGTTTACTAAAGGTATCTGAGCTGTAACGCTGTGTCAGAACTATCCCAGCAGTACGGAGGCTGTACTTAAGCCCAGCTAGCATTCCTGTGAGCTTGTCAGCTGCTTCTAAATGGTGCTGTGTTGTAAGAAACAAGAAGGTGATTACAGTAATATAAGGTTGGACAGCTCAGTAACCTGAGAAAAACCTGTGTTGAAAGAATTACTAACATGCCCTGAAAACACTCATTGGCACAGATTTCTTTAAAACAGTGACGAATCGCTCTTAATTTTTTAGGGAGACCGCGGCTAGGAAATGTGGTAATGTGACATTTTCTCTGTAGCTTTAAATCATTTTCTGCACTCCAGTTTCGGAAACTCCTGTTTTTTTTTTCATTTGACTTTCTCCATCCTTATACAAGTGGATTATTTTATATCTAATCTCCCCACAAATATCTCCTGAAAAATGAGTTCTGGTACAATCATATATCTGTAGATGACAATCGCATAAATGCATATTCACATAAAAGAGCAGAGCTACTGTAGAATAGCGTCCAACTATAGTGCAGACGCTCATGGATGCCAGCACCCCTTAAAAGTCTGAGGTGCAGCTGACAGCCTGCCTGATCACTGCTGGCCTTTGTACAGATGACGACAGACTGACAGTGTCCTTATTTTTGACGAGGAGGACCTTCAAATAAAAGCGACCTGTCAAGGAGGCCAAAATAATGCTTTATAGCAACACATGATAACCTATTGTAAGGTAACCATATCTTTTTTCTTTGTAAATAAATGTTTCTTTACTCTTTATAAAGCAAAATAACAAATGACACAGTACATTTTAATGGAACAAAGCAGGCACATCCCAACAAAAACAGTAAATCAAACAAATGATAATAAATAATCATCCTTTATTGCCTAATGTACTGGCTGTAATATATTCTGAGGGTCTGCTATGGCTTTGCTCCTTTTAACTCATTCAATTCAGTCTCCAGACTCGTGTTGGCAGTAACTATGAACATTTGTAAGAAAAGAAATCCACAAATTACTCAGTTCCAAATCCAAACATTGCAAACATTTAGTCACTAATTCCTCTATTGTGTTCTGCTGTGTTGGCTCAGCTCCTGTACTGCTTTGTGACCAGTCACACCTCTGATTTCTCAGCATCATCATGTTGTTTTAGACCAAAAATATGGAGTCTCAAAAAGTTTAGAGCCTCTGCTGACAGATGCTGGATGAACTAAGAAATTCCACTGCAGTTCTACAAGCTTCTCTGTGACAAATATTTTTTGAGCTGCTACTTTTGTACTTTTACTCAAGCTGTACTTTTACTTCAGATCATTTTTCACAGAGGTAACAATATTTTCACTTACGGCTTCAGGCTAACCAGCTATAGCAATATTAAAGTAGATCATGTGGAAATGGAGCTTTCTGTGTTTTCTATCACTGCACAGAAGTTTCATGCTGCCTTTATTGTTGGATGCACTGTAATAGTTTCTGAGTGAGTGTTAGGGTGTCTACACAATAGAAGCTAATGCAAGTGTCTAGCTCTGCCAGACTAGAAAACAAGATGTACCATTTCAACTTTTGTTCCAATTCTGACAAAGATTCAAGTCAATTAGTGGAAACATGCAGGCACAGGCCAAGACTGAATTTGCTCTATTGATTTCGTGCCGTATCAACTCCACCCTGCTCCAGCCGTGTACACACATCCCAGACGGACAAGATCTGCATGTATTTGCGTCTACTGGCCCAATCTTGTGTCGTCTTGTATGTGAGCACCCTTTGTCTGACGGGACCAGATGTGATCTCGTAATGAGAATGCACATCTGGAGATGACTTGTTTAACTTTTGGTGCTGGATTGTGGTGAAATTGGCTGCTGGAACAAGAGTCCATCTGACTCAAACTCTCAAATTTCTCTAGTCCGACTATTTTAAAGTCCAGAGTACAATCAACAGCACAAGCACAACAAGCTAGCATAATGCTAACACTAACAGAACTATTTTTCCTTTGCAAGAAGCAACACTTATTTTTACCGAGTTTGTACACACACATATTAGTACACAATCTACATGGAAGTTTTCTGGGTGTTTGGATGGTTCAGTCATGCTAACTTATGTCACATCCATGAGCTAACGACAGGCATGTTGTCTTACCGATAATGTTGGCAAGCGTACCACCACCTCTGCTTGAAGCTCTGCCTTTTACAAGGAGTTGGATAGACCTCTGAAGTCATGTGCTGTTCTGTAGTTGGGGTCATGCCCATATCAGTTACTCCACATATGAGCTTTTTTCCTTATGACCGAAATTAATAGTATTTTTAAAAGTTTCAAAAGTCATGTAGGAAAGGAAAATGTTTGAACACCACTGCATTTTGTTTTGTGTACATTTTTTTCTCAAGTCTTACTGGATCCTCTGAATTACGAGGTTACTTAGCAGAAAAAACACGTATAATACTGCACACGTGCTACAAGCAAGCTAACGCTTCTGCGCACTGAAATGACGTTGTGTGAAAGTAAGTCTGCTATTGAACTTCAACATTGTTCTATTCCGACATCAGCTACTCAGACTGCAGTCTAAAAATGCCAAAGCAACTTGACTAGCGTTAAACAACAGAGTCAAACAAGCTTGTTGGTTTTTGTGGGGTATTCTGGTGAGGTTGCTAGCTTTATAATGTCAGCTCAGTTAACAGCAGTGTTAGCTTGGATGTAGCAATAACCATATGTCACCCTTTTAATGATCTCATAATTCAGAGGAAGAAAAATGTTTGTGCCACAGAATGTATCAGCTTTGGAACACTTTCGTTTATGGGACAGTGGTGATTTTCAAAATGTCAATCATTTCAAAAAATAACTATTTATCTATTGGATGTATTAGTTGAGAAATTTTCCCACCCACATTTAGCCCAAAGTTTCTTATGGTTTACCCCAGATGAGATAATCTCTGGCCCAGTGAGACTAAACAAACATGCGCACTATATGCATATTGAATATATTTTTTTTCGATATTAGATTTAGGAGATGATGATACCAGGACTGGTGTCTGTAGTTCTATATAACACAGTCCATGATATTCCAAATAGTAATGACAATAAACCATATAAGTCTCTGCTGCACAGCTCTTGGAACTGAGAAAAAACTGGTTTGGTTAGCCTACCTTGGATGGTTGAATAGCCAAGGTGTTTGAAATGGCGAGATTTATCAGTCCAGTATAATAATGATGGACAAAGCACGGTAGATCAAATGATGACAGAATGTCAACATTGCTAAATGCAAGGATCAGATACTTAAATATATGCTCTGTCCTGAAGACGAGAATTGCAGCAGCTACTTCTCCACTCAAATAACTTGCTCTATAAGGATGTTAACAGCTACAGATTAGTACCTCTATTTGGCTGTAAAATCTACCTCTATTTGGTTGGAGAGTCCACCTCTATTAGGTTGCTAAGTCCACTTCAGTTCAGTTGGAGATTCCACCTCTATTCGGTTGTAGAGGCCACCTCTATTCGATAGGAGATTCCCCCTCTGTTCAGTTGGAGAGTCCACCTCTATTCTATTGTAAAGTCCACCTCTATTTGGTTGGAGATTCCACCTCTATTCTGTTGTAGAGTCTACCTTTATTCAGTTGTGCCACGCACCCCTATTCGGCTGTAGAGTCCACCTCTATTCAGTTGTAGAGTCCTCCACTATTCGGTTGTAGAGTCCACCTCTATTCAGTTGTAGAGTCCACCTTAATTCGGTTGTACCACGTACCCCTATTCGGTTGTAGAGTCCTCCACTATTCGGTTGGAGAGTCCACCTCTATTCAGTTGGAGATTTCACCTCTATTCAGTTGTAGAGTCCACCTTAATTCGCTTGTACCATCCACCTCTATTTGGTTGTAGTTTGCTGGAAGTGATTGAGGCATGTTAGAAAATCCCCTCTGACTCCTTTTAGCCAGAAGGTCAGAGCCGATTCACAGCAGTGTTAGCTTGGATGTAGCAATAGCCATAATTCGACTCCTTAATGATCTCATAATTCAGAGGATCTGGCAACGCTAGGAGGAAACAGTGGTGATTTTCGAAATGCCAGTTATTTCTTTGATAGAGAAAAACAGCTATTACTCTATTGGATGTATTGGTTGAGACATTTCACAATTAGTTTGTTCTCACACTAATACATCTACATTCCCACCCACATTTAGCCCAAAATTTCTTATGGTTTTCCCCAGATGAGATCATATCTGGCCCAGTGTGTATAATAATGTGGCGAAATCACATTATTATACATTAATTATAACTAGCTGCTTTTGCCTTTAAACATGTTTAAAGTTACATGGAGCAAATCATGTCTCATCATCTACCTTTGGGCCAACATATTACATACATGATACCATGTGAGAGTAAACAAGCATGTGCACTAGGGCTGTCACAATATGCATTTGAATACTATTTTTTCGATATGGGGGTCGAGAGATGATGTGAATTGAATGCAGTAAGATTTGTTGCTAAGTGCATGATACTGGTAATGGCAGCTGCTTGTGCCTTTGTATGTGTCTAAACTTACATGAAGCAAATCATGTCTCTTCTCATACTTTGGCCCAACATAATACATACATAATACATCATTTGAAAGTCTTTGCAGTATCCAGGCTGATTGTTGTTCTTTAAAGACGTAGAACATGTTGGGTTCCCAAGATATGACAGTCCTCCCTGCACACTCTCGTGTTTTTCTTCCAGCACAATGACAAGAAACAGCAAGAACAGACGTAAAAGTGGCATCGTGTATCACATCTTCATCTACAAGTCCACAGTATCACACAAAACAAGAAGATATAAAAACGAAGAAGAGTTGTCAGCCGTATCAGAGTGAACTCTGAACTCTTTCAAACAAGGAAGAGGGACAGAGGGAGGGGGAGAGAGAGAGAGAGAGAGAGAGAGAGAGAGAGAGAGAGAGGTGTGACTAAGAGTGGCTCAAACAGGTTCCTAGCCTGTGGCCAGGGAGAGCGTTTCAGGTTTTCACATTTGCATGTGAAAACTTGAATCCCCACCCGCTTGGCTTCCCAGCACTTCTCATGTTGTGATGTCTTCAGTTCTTTTTTTTTGCCTTCCCTCTCCAGTAGAGAAACTTCACTTTGCTTTTCAACACACTTTTTTAATCTCTCTGAAAAACCCCGGATAAGAATGAACTGCCAACGCGCCGGGAGATTTCCCCATAACTGACAGCTCAAGTAAGTTGTAAAAAACATATGTTTAGAGGTGCAAATAGGCAAGCAGTGAGTAACTGATGGCATATTTGACTCTAGATGTAATTGCTAAGAGGGTGACGGGACATTTTAGAGGGAAATAAAGGGGCAAATTCCATGTTTGATGATCTAACTGCAGTGTGTTACCTTCGGATACTTCTTTAGCTTCTTCCATATGGTAATTCTACTGTTTATACCTATATATGTCACTTCCTTCAACACCTTTTGTCTGCAGCATTCCTATTTCTCCGGAATTGAATTCCACTTTCAAGCTATGGCTTCAGTTCATCAAGCCTTTAAAATGGAAAGTAGTTGGCAAACAGTTGTATGTTAACAAGCATGCCAGCTTAGACCTCACTCGCCGAAGCTTTTGTGCTCCTATCCGCTCAAGTAGACAGTTTGACACAATAATGTTGTGTACCAGAGGAACATCAGGACATTCATTACATGAGTGTCCACCTTCACATTCTCCTTTATCAGCTTTAAGATATGGGAGCTGTGAGCAGTAGACATGGTTAAAATATCTGCTTTGAAAGAAAATTTTTCTGAATAAAATGTTAATCTTATAGATTTTTTAGTTTGTGAATGGAAATCGATTGAGGCCTATGTAGGTGAGGTTTCTCTCTTCTTTATCCATCAGTTTCATATTAACATGATTAGATGCTTTGACAGTTCACAGAGTTTGCGGTGCTTCTTGCGCTCGCACTGCGCTGTGGCCCAGACACGGATAATCTACATAGAGGAAATGTACGCTTTAAATGCATCATGCATTATTGATATTGTTCACGTAGAGAGATGTGAGTAACGCAAGTAACTGATTACTATTAAAGTAACTGTAATGCGATTATAAGAATTTAAACTGTTATGTCTTAAGGGAAATTCCACCAATTACGGAAAACTTCTGTATAATTCAGTGGTTGAGATATAAACAAAATCATTCAGGGTGTTTTGATGTAAAATGGTTTATTATAGAGAAACATACTGACTTACTGACAACTTACTGATTACTGATAGGAACCAGGAGTTCCAATGTCTACAATGCAAATATAGCCATTTTATTTACTATCCAAAACCACCAGTGAACACGTCTTCTGAACTTTTTATGCAACGTTGATGATGGTAAAATAGTTTTCTTTGGGGACTATTTTATCTTAGAGCACCCTTATATGTATCCCTCCACCATGGTTTAAAATAAATTACTAAAAATTATTTTTAGACTAAAACTTTATCGTAGCTACAATATGTCAGTCATCAGGCAGTGAATTCATAACCACTTTGTGTAGTAACTTTCTGTGAGGGAGCTTTTAGAGCTGGACATCTGGTTCCTGTCACCACCACTGTGAATAATTCTGACTCTGTAAGTTTCTCAGAACAGAGCATTTCACACCAAACCGCTCTGAATGACAGAAATGTTCAATAATTGAGTTCCCTTTTAAGCCCTCTTACAAACTATTGGGGGATTAGTTTTACGTGTAACTAATGTAATGGCCAATTTGATGCCTGAAGCATTGTGCAATTAGCATTTTCATTAAATTGTAAATTCACAGCCACCAGTCAACATCACCACATAAAATCAAACGTTTTTCTGTAATTTTACATGTTATGCGTTGTACACATGAGATACCACAGTAGGGTTCCATATCAGCTTGATGTTAGTCACAGAGAACACAAGTAAATGTTTTTTCAAGTACCTCACTACTTGAGAAACTCCTTTTCGATAGCGTTTTTACCAAAATGTCAGTTTGCACAGGATTAATATATCCTGAGGTTATTTCAACTGTGCTGTAGAGCACCAGATTCTTTACTGATGTGAGAGCACGCAGTCCTTTAAAATGACTGGCAGGGCATATTCTAATATAACTCAGAAATGCCAATAAAAACGACACTACCCACCTCTTCATGTAAAACTAATCTCATCTAAAAGGGGCTTTGGACCTGGATTAGTTTTACCAGAGGAGGTCCGGTAATGTCATTTCTGTTATTTGACAGGCTGATTCGTACTGGATCTGTGCGACTTTCCCAAATGACCTCAGTTAGCTCCAATCGAAATTAAACAGCTTACCAAATGTCACCCAACAGGAAGCTAATCTGCCCTGTGAGAGGTATCTTCAAGAAATTTCAATTTCTTTCTCCTTCTGATGAAATGGTCAGCAAAAATTTTGTAGATTATACACACATTCATATATATATATATATATAATTACTTAATGCTGTAAATTAATATTACATATATATATATTACTTAATTAATGCTGTTTGAATGAGTCACCCCTTTTTCTTGGGAACCCTACGTTATACAACTTTTTATCTTTTGAAGTGTGATTCATTTTGGACGTTTGTCATTTTGTCAGGCGGTTCTAAGTTCCGTAGAACTATTCTTAGAGCCTTAGGCATCCAGGGGATACACAAGTTCTGAGCACTATATCAAAAGCCCAGCGAGGTGTCAGCAAGTCTTTGTTTTCTTTGCTTTTTATTGTCTCTCAGCTCAGCTGATGTAAGTCAATATTTTGACTGATCCAGTCCATTTCAAAGCAGCAAACACCTTCAGTTGTTGCCTAGACAAAAAAAGATGAAGCCATACAAGCTTCGACTGAAAAACGATTTTCTAATTTGCTTTTACAGCATCTGTGTATCATACTGAAAGGGGAATTCCACCCAGTTTTTGAAATTGCCAAATTATTCAAATGTAAACAGTTACTCAGAGTGTTTTGGTGTGAAATGCCTTACAGGTATTTTGCATGTGAAGTGTGCAAAAACCATATGTGTTTACTTGTAATTATGTCTTTCACATGATCACACTTTTTTCCATAGAAAACACAATTTCGTGTGATCACACATTTTTCCACAAGTAATAACACAGTCTTAACATGTGATATGTGCAAAAACAATGCAACAACTTTTCTATAAGGCATTGTTGAGAAACTCATAGAGTTAATTACCATGGTGGTGATAAGAACCAGTGGTCATGATGTCTACTAGACAAATATACCCCTTTATACTATCAGAATCCAACTAGTGAACCTACATGAGTATTTCTATGTAACGTTAATGATGGCAAATTAGTGCTAAATCTGAAAAAATACATTTTCTTTGGGGGCTATTTTGACTTACAACACCCTCTACGGATTTTAAAATGCATTTTAGACCAAAACCTTCTCACAAAACTATTGTAAAACAGTGTCTCAGGCATCAGGTAGCGTATTCATAACCATTTCATGTAATAACTGTCTATGAGATAACATCACCACTGTGAACAATTCTGAGCTGACAAACTTCTCTAGAAGTGCCATTTCACACCAAACCACTCTAAATGACTGTTAACCACTTAATTACACATAAATCAATGGAATTCTCTTTATAATACTGTGTTTTGTTTATTAGGTGTTGAGCTCTGGAGCTTCATCCATATCGGGAGAGTAATGATCCAAGCCCCAGCCACAATGGAATCCAATCTATCTTTGCTCTCCTCCTTGAAGGAAGAGTTCAAGCCTGAAGATTACATACAGCCCCATTACAAAGAGTCTTATCGTCTAGCCATTGACTGTCTGGTCAGTGGTGGCAAACATGTGTATCAGGAATTCATCAAAGCTGAGAAGATAATGAGCTTCCTTTCTGAGGACGAAATCAACTTCATCATCCAGAATGCCGAGCAGCTACCAGTTTGCGCCCAGCCGGAGGAAGTGGAACGACCAGCAGACGAGGAGGCCTCTACAGGGACTTACTGGCCCACGCACTCAGATGCCCCTCCCCCTGACCTGGACCTGGGATGGCCGGAGGTTATACACAACAGGCTGCAGACCAACATAGACCTGCTCTACCATCCACCCAGACTAAACAGCCCCACCATCAAGGAGGTGGTGAGGAAACACATCCAGGATGCTAGACAGGTAATGCTGCGTCGCTGCCCAGTGCTACACTTCTGAAAATAATGGCTGCTAAATGGTTTTTGGTTTGATTGTACACATTTAATTTGGTACAGGACCTTTATTTTATGAGGAGGTTCTTAAAAGGTTGTTCACACTCATCACATGAGTTCACACATCATTTACCTAAGTGGTTCTTCAAATAACAACCGTTGTAGAGTGCTTTTGATGACTTCTATGGTGTTGCTCCAAAGAACCTGTTGGGCACCTTTATTTTTTAGAGTGTACATGTAAACAACAGATCAGTACAGTGCCTGCAAGGTTACTGATGACAGCACCAAGCCATGAATGTGAAATGCGAAAGCAGTCATCAAAGGCTGTTATTTCCCATATAGAAAGAGACATAGGTAGAGAACAGAGGATGGCAGCAGGAATACAATCTAACAGTTCATGAAGTTTTAGATTCTGGGAGAGTTGAGTTTGTTTTTGTGGTGAGGTTTGTCCAGGAAGCACAGCATGACAGCAACTACTTTCTATGAGGTAACATCAGCTTTTAGATACCAGATGTCTGGTTCTAAAAGCTGATGTTACTGGAAAAGTGGTACTAGAAAAGCAACAGAAGACAAGAGTGTGTGATATACAGTCATATGCAAAACTTTGAACACTTTTGCACCTCCAAAGTATGTTTTGTTGAAGTGAAAATAGGATAAAACGTATATATATATATATATATATATATATATATATATATATATATATATATATATATATATATATATATACGAATATAACAAACATACATTTCAGCAAATTTGAGTTTAACATATTGGACAAAAACTTACACATGCAATATTCCTTTGGCCACATTTATGTTTTATTTGTTTTTTCCAATGCATTAAATTAAGCTTATAAACAGCAATCGTACATTAAAATGTGCATAAATGTATTCTGTAATGTGACCAGGATCGCCCAAACTTGCATTTGACCAGTGTGACTAATATATTATTCACAGATAAATGGGAAAACTGAATTATTTCTATGGGTCCGATATTGGGATTGCAGCTGATAATTAAAAGCAATCATTTAACTTTGTTTTTAGCTCATCCATGAATGTAGTCACCAGTGCTCACTCAAACGGATAGCATAGTGGATGGAAACACATGGAAAATCGAAAATTTAATTCTTTGTTCAGGCACAAACCCAACGGCTATACCAACAACAGTACTTGGGCTAGACTCCTAACGTTGTATTCACCTACTATTATAGCTCTAGATGAGATATTGTGAAAATATGTAAATGTTTACAATAATTAACAGTGGTCCATATTTAGTTTTATCCCTCCTTATGCTCAGTACACGTCACATATGGATTTAGGAATGCTCCGATATGGGAATCATAGGCTGATGCTGGTTTTTGACATTTTTCATGTACATATCTGCCAATGCTGAATTTATGAAATGTAGAATTTGGGACTAAATTTAATGGAATAGCTTCACAGAGAAATGTGACATCTATTTGCATAGTTTTACAAATGCAGTAAAATGACTAAAATGCAGAGCAGTATCTCAGTGCAGTAACTCAGTGTCACCTTCAATGTCTGCTTTTCCAGAGTGGGATAAATATATCATTAATTATCTGTCTGCTGCCGACACTTAAACAATTATCTGCTGAAACTGAAATGATTTCAGTATCATAGTGCATCTGTAGATGGATTATAGTGTGTAATTCATTTAAAAGACAAAATGTGCAACTAACTCAGTTGGAAATACATGATCACCAAGACAATATTGTGAAACAACACTTTGAATGGTTTCTCAGTCTGTCTATTTGCTCAGGTGGACGTGTTTGTTGATTCTTCATGTAAAAACGAATATAATTTCAGTTAAAAGGAGAACTTCTCTGCAACATCCCTGCATAATTGAGTGTTTGAGATGTAAACAAACTCATTCAGAGTGGTTTAGTGTGAAATGGTTGATTGTAGAGACTCAGATTTCTTTACAGTGGTGGTTCGAGTTCAAGTTTCAGGTTTATTTGTCATTTGCACAACATGTCAGGACATTCATGCATTGAACTGCTTGTGGTGAGGCTCAGGTAATCATTCTACAGCAGGGCAGCATTATATACATAATATAGTGACAGGAACCAGGGGTCACCATGACTACAACACAAATATATTTACATTTTATTTACTATTCAAAACCACCAGTTAACCTACAAGAGTGTTATATGGAATGTTGCAGATGGTAAAATAGTGGGAAATCCGAAATAATGCATTGTCTTTGGGGACTATTTTGCCTAACAACACCTTGCATTTATCACCCCACCATGAACATCTTTCTAAAAATATGTTGTAGGTCAAAATCTTCTCAGAACTACCATAAATCAACGTCTTAGACATCAGGCAGTGAATTCATAACCATCTCATGTAATAACTTTCTGTGAAGGAGCTTTTAGAGGTGGACGTCTGGTTCCTATCACCACCACTGTGAACAATTCTGACAATGCTGACTGAGTCTGAGATCCTCTAGAACTGACCCTTTCACACCAAACCACTCTGAATGACTCTGTTTATTTATGAGCATCTAATTCTACACATATTTAAAAAAGGTGCTCTATCAAATTCCCTAGAGAAATCGTTTCCTTATTGAGTGTTCTAGCTGTGCTAAATCTGGATACAAATCACTGGCACTTGTAGGATTTATTATTTTCTTTCCTACTGCCAGAACAATCTGCGACTGACCAGAAACAAGCTGAGCAGAGAAAGAACAAATGGTTCTGCTGCTTGCTGTCCTCAGCTGGACGCTGTGTGCAGCAAACACTCTTTCCTCCTTCTATTCCCCAGCTCTAGCTTTGCTCAGCTGCGGCAAGACAACCGACCTGAGCGCAACAATCATGAGTACATTTTCAGTGTTTTCTTCCTACAAACCATAACTTCTAATATTAATAACGTGAGGGAAATGTTAGGAAAGGCTGCCGAGTATTCGTGTGTCACACTGTAATAACAACAACAGCAGCTGTCGTGAGGTCATGACTGATGAGATGATGAACCTTGTCTTCAGAAGGGCAAGAGCAACAAAGGTAGTCATGTTTCTTTTACTCGAGCTTCTCCAACAATAAGGGCTTTCAGTGTTTCCAGCAGCTTTAGTCTGCGTGAAACAGATCCCAGCTGATTTGTCCAAAACAGATTCCACATCACTTTGAATGCTTGATAAGGTTCACTCACCATCCAGAAATTGGGACGTCATTGTTGTTGATGTTAACATTGTAGGACATGTCCACCTGTTTAAGGACACCTTTTACCCCAGGCTGTCAAGCTTCAGTCAAGCTATGAAGTTTATCATTGATTTAAAGAGCTCATATCCTACATTTGTCTTGCATTTTGAAGTCCACTTGTGACGTTTATGTGACTATTCACATGAAAAAACATACATACATACACACATACATCATCTAAACCGCTTATCCTTCTGGGTCGTGGATGAAAAAACAGCCTTAAATCATTTTACATGACATTTTTTACATATTCCAACCTCTAATAATCGCTTACAATTAATCAGGGTGTTTCTGTTACTGTGCCTTTAAGGCTGATTTAAAGGTATATGCAAAGGTTTAAACCCCTCTGGTCAAATTATGTGTTTTGTTGATATTCTAATTCAGAGTAAGTTAACACGTCCTCTACAGAGAACACAGCTTAATGTAGAATTTTTTCACATTTTAGTGCACAGTTGAAAAATATGAAGCATAAAATATTACATACCACATTTAATGTTTTATTTTATGACATTTGTGTATATAAATGTGCTGTTTGTAGAGGATGTGTGTTGACTTATTTTCACATAGAAATTCAACAGGTACATAGTCTGTCCAGGGCTGCCTTCCAAAGCCTAGGCTGCAGCCGAGGTAGTGGGGGTCCTCGGTAGGACTGTCCTATGAAGGCTCGAAACTCGTGAGGGAACTGGAGAGAGAAAATGGAGCCGCTGCATTGAGTTTGTTGCTTTTTCATTTCTTCACGGAAATGGAGATGATCTTATGTAGTACAATAAACTACATATATGCAAATATGATATGCAGGCAATATATGATACACAGACGAATGCTTTAACTAATCAGTCATCTTACACTTTATAAGGTAACAAAGACAAATTCAAGGATGTGAACAACTTACATTTCAAAACAAGCTCTGCTTCAACGGCTTCGTTTTCCATCATTTTCGTGGTGCTGTTTTTTTCTCCTACGTGTCGTTCGTGCGCAGAGAACCGTTGGTAGCTGAAGGCCTGGAAGGAAACATCTGAGGCATCATTGAAATCACTCAGAACGTAGCCTGCATTTCTAGGCTGTATATGAAGGGTTCTTCACTTTGGAGTGGCCTGGAACGCAGCTGAACTGTTGCATTTGACTGTATGTTAATGAGCTCTGTCCTGATTGGCTGCTCAGTATTACACATTTCATACATAAAGCAGTTCAGGCTAAAACATCCTTTGTAACTTCTGTGTTTAAATGTATTGCTAATTTTAAATTTTCATTTAAAATTAGCAGTTTTTTGCAGCTTAGCTCTGTATATCGACTGGGGAGGGAGCAATTAATGCTAGCAATGTTTACTTACTATATCAAACAGTTAGGAAGTGAGGAAAATACAGCAATTTGAATGATATGGGCACTTCAAGCTCCTTCCAGGCTGCACTGTTAATCTGAAATGGTTATATTTCTTCACATGTTTAGCCACTTTATAATCTTTCAACTATAACAGCCCACTGTGAGCCAAAATCGAATGTTTTAACCCTAACTGTGATAAAAATGCAGCAAATTGCCCTAAAATTGTTCTTTATACCATTGTTGTTGGGTCCAGTATTCAGAGTTGTGCAAATGACTCCCTGCACCCCACCACGTCCTTTAGCACTGCAGAACAGCTCTTTGTTGTTGTGAAATCCACAGGCACACAGGTAGATTCCACTGGGCACACTGGGGGGTTGCAAAGTCCAGTTTTTGTTCTCTCTCAAGAGATTGTGGTGAAAATGGCTAAAGCA